ATTACAGGTGGTTTTGCTCAGCTAGTTCTTTGCATGTCTCTTCACACTGTGATGATGCCATATATGCACTTAGTCAGCATTCAAGGCTGTGAGGAGTTTAAGCATGATGAACAAACACAGGCTTCTAAGGGATATGAGCTATTATTGAGTATATGCAACCCATATTTCTTCAGACCTTTGAATATGGCCAAATGTGCAGGAATTTTCACAAGAGTGGCAAAGCTACAATGTCCAAACACAAATGATAACTCTATAAAATATGATGTCCCTGATCTGAAGAGTAAGAGGGTGAGGGTATTTCAAAGAAAAGATCTTAAAGGTAAAACAGTACTTATTTCTAACCTTTATTATAATCCCCTCCTCTTCCACTATTGGTTTCATAGATAGCTGTGGTGGGTTGACCCTGGCTGGACGCCAGGTGCCCACCAAAGCCGCTCTATCACTCCCCCTCCTCAGCTGGGCAGGGGAGAGAAAATGGAACGAAAGGCTTATGGGTCAAGATAAGGGCAGTTTGATAAAGCAAAAGCAAGGGTTACACATGAAAGCAAAGGAAAACAAAAGATTTTATTCTCTACTTCCCATCAGCAGCCGATGTATGGCCACTTCCCAGGAAGCAGGGCTTCAGTACACGTAGGGGTTGCTCCGGAGGACAAATGTAAATAACGAATGCCCCCCTTCTATCGCCCTTTACTTAGCTTTTATTGCTGAGCTGACACCATATGGTATGGAATGCCCCTTCGGCCGGTTTGGGTCAGCTGTGCTGGCCGTGTCCCCTTCCAAGATGTTGCCCACCCCCAGCCTGCTGGTGAGGGGGGAATGGTGGAGAGACAGCCTTGACGCTGTGCCAGCACTGCTCAGCGGTAGCCAAAACACCACTGTGTTATCAACACCTTCCCAGCTACCCATACGGAGCAAAGCGCTGCGAGGGCTGATATGGGGAGAATTAACTCCGTCTCAGCCAGACCCAATACAGTAGTTGATATACGCTTGAATAAACACGGCAAAAACCACCCCAAACCTAACCACCACCACCTCAAACCCTGCAAGACATAGCTAACATAGAAACATCACAGCCCAAATGCTTAGTTTCCCAAAATTACACATTTGCAAACCATGAGCATGGAGTGTATGGCTTGTGTTTATGCAGAACAGTAATCAGAACAAGCAATCCCATTAAAGTAACAAAAAGCATCATTTGGCAAGTATTCTTCAGACTGGTAACTGTCCCAAATGCTATTAGTTTTGAAAGGTCATACCTTTATTCTGTGTCACGATTAAGGTTACAGTGTTACTTTCATTGTGAAATGGCTATAAGTTGCATTACAGTTTCTGGGAGCCCATAGTGACATCATACACAGATATGAGAAATTCTTGTCCCAGAAGTACTTAAAACATACAGATTTTTTTAACTTTTCTCTGTTTTTCAAAGATTACAAATTCTCTGAGCCTAGTCAAAGCTCTCACTGGTCTGGATATTGGTATCTCCTTAAACTGAATAAATATATAATTGTGTAAGATATCCCACTGATATGCTCAGGTTTGAAATTAACCCTCTACGATTTTTTTCAGAATTATTACCAAAATAATTACTGTTGTGTTATGCTGCTACTAGCTCTGCTAAACTTGCAAGTGTAGAAACACTGAAAAGTAATTGGTTGTTTGGTTCATTGGTTGGTTTGTTTTCCCCATTACAAATCCAGCTTGTTCATAGACTTCCTATATATTTTAATTACCTATAGCAAAGATACAGTCATACTGTTGCAAAGAGGCAACAGTGATATGCTGGAAGCAGCTCATATGACCACTTGGGTTAATAAAGCAGTCCTCAGTGAAGAAAACCGACCTCCTTTTCAATTTTTATAAATCAGCGATTTCATCAGAAAATGCAAAAATTCCCTTGAAATAGTAAACAAATCTTTGAAATAACAGTAACGATGAAAAAAAGCTGAAAATATCCATCAAACAAACAAAATAATATCAAACAAAATACCAAAAGGTAACTTTTTTTGTTTTCATCTTCCACTGAGCTTGTTGGAGAGCAACGCTCAGTCGAGGTCTCATGCAGAGAGGTAGGCCAGCAGCTGACCAGCTTCCGAAAGGGCAAGGCAGCCCATACCCGCGCGTGTCTTTGCGGGACCAAAGCACTCCAACCTTATTGCTGACTGGCAGCACAATAGCTTTTATTTCTAACCTGTATTGAGCTTGGAATCGTAACCTCCATAGCCACCTTTTTCCTTAATAGTTAAAAGAGATGCACAGACCTGGGGTTTGTAGGCTGGGCAGAGTGGTGGTGAACATGCATGGCCGTTTATGGTTTTGAAGGAGCACTTGATCTGGAACATGTACTGAAGTAGTAATAAGACACAGGATGAGCTACACAATTCAGCTCCAAGGCAACATAAATGGGTCCTCCATTATTACATTTCTCTGGCGTGTTCAAAAAGTCATTCCCGTGTGCATGGACATTCTGGCTATGACCTGGGAGTGTCCAGTGATGACTCATCTGTTAGCATCACTGAAAGGGGGAAAAAGCGACAGTAAAGACCTCACATAAACCATATCATTCATGCCATAAAGCACAAGTGATACTGCTCACGCATGTTAGGCTACATGAAAACTCTTTCTGCAGCACAAAAGGCAGAGATTTCACACAAGGTAACTGGGCAAATTCACTGCCCAGATTCATACAGCATGGCTGACTGTGGACAAGCCACATCCATCAGGGTGAAATTTAACACTGATAGCATGAGGTGGATTACTTCTGTTTTCTGCTTGCAATATTTGACAGAATCATATGGCTTGTCACAGCACGTGAATAAAGCAAAAATAATAAGTATGTAACCAAGTTTTAGGATTCTTTCAATTAAATCCATTTCCTAATAAATACATCCTCTGTTTTGATATTTTAATAACCATATATATTATTTTGTACCTCCCTCTGAAAGTAATTTAAGATTTCATTAGTCCCATTGACTACGAGGTATTTGGGAGAATTATTCTTGTTTCTAAATTACAAATTGATAAAATTAAATTTACCTATCAAGTATCTTCAGTTGGAATAGGCAAAAAAAAGAGAAAAAAAGCGATCTATTTTTGTTTTCTGCTTTCCTTCTAAACCAGGTGATGCTGCTTAGATTCTTTTTCCTCCTGTCTAATTTACATTTAACTTGGCTGCTGATAATATGTCTCTAATTTGTAATTTCAACTGATTACTGATGACGTACATGGGTTTGAAGTGAATCCTATAATCAGCCTTCATTTTCAGGAGTGACTTAGGATTTTGGCTGCCCATCTGAAAAGGATCTGATTTCTTTTATAGAAATTATTGAAACATTCACCATCTGAACCTGTAAAGACCCCTACAGTGTCTAATCACTGAATCACTCACAGTCCTTGGCTACTTCAGATAATTTAGGTCCACCACCTTTAAAAACTTGTGCTTCTCTTTTGTTTTGCAGGTTTTCTTTGGTTTTGCATATATCCATCATGACCTCCTTTAAAATAATTAAAACTCTGTGGTAGTAGAAAATCTTTCAGGCAACATAATTATTTTCCTATTTGGGGGATCATTTTAATAATGTCAATTATATTTGATTTATTGTACTCATTTTTTACTCAGAATTATTGCTATGCTTAAGGTATGACATCAGTGGAATAGACCATTACCATGGGGAACTGCCTCCCTTATTTTCATAAATAATGATGGGAACTCATGCACTTATAAAACAAATAAATGCTAAAATGTAGACAAAAAGATTGTTCTCCAGTCAGATGGCATTAGTTCTGTGGAAGAGATCTCTGCAGCTATGTCAGATGTCTTATATGCATGTAATAATTTGGATGGTGCAGTAAGTAAGGTGAAAGTTGCATCTTGTACCATTGTGGAACTGCTGCACTCCCATTGCCAGGAATGATAGAACCTCCCCAGTTCTTCATCCAACAGAAAAACGTATCGCCCATGCGGACAAAATTCTCTTTACTTTGGTATGGCTTATATCTTTTTTTAGTCTGTGACTAGCAGTTAAGTTCAGCTACTTGGCAGTGTAAGTGATTATCAGGTGCTCTTTTCAGATTCTATTTATTCTTTCTCTCAGCCTTGTGAAGGTATTTGGTGTTTGCTTAGTGCAACAAGCACTTTCTAGATGGCTTCTTACTACAAGCAGCACCATGATTTTAGCCAGACAACTTCCCTCAGTGCAGATGTTTTTCAGGGTGTTTTGAACATCTAATACAGTCAAGGTTAGTCTCTTATCTAAACATTATTAATATACATAGGCAGAAAACAGGGAAGAGAGAAGGAAACATTCACTGCAGGAGGAAGCATTCTTTAATATGCTGTAAACACCTTTTCTGGTGTACATATATATTACTGTGAGTAATCTGTAGGATATCAAAATCCACTTTTATCTAGCTAAATATTTTTTCCATAGAAATCTATATAAGTTCATGTATCCTAAGCACACTCTTAAGTATCATCTTCTTTATCTGCCTTTGAAGACAAAATGAACAACATTGTAATGCAAGATGCTAGAAGCATAGTCATTTGGAGCAGGCAATAGCGAGTGCAATAGGATTACTGAGTAACTATTTTCCTCTCAGACCCTGCAAGAGGGAAAGGAAAAGGAGAAAACAGAAACAGCTTAACTCACCAAAAATCAAACCACTGCATTGCCCTCTTAGCCACTGAGTGTTTTGGGATGTAAGACCGAAGATTACATCAGTACAATAAAGGCTCCCTGCTCTCTCTACAATCAAAAGCTGTATGCTATGCAAAAAAGAAAAAAAAAAGAAAAAAAAAAAGGCGCAGCTCTACCCCAGCATCAGCGCCAGTAGAAGTCAGAACAGGTAGAGAGGTGTGGAGAACAGGGGGGAGAGGGAAGGGTTAAAGGCATTATCGCAGCCATTAGAGGGAAAAGTTGAAGCAATACAAGCACAGCAGACTTCTCTCTCTTCCCCCCCTCCCCCCCCCGCCCCTTTCTTTCCCCCACTCCCCTCTTCCCAAGCTGGATCAGTGTGTAGGGAGGGCAGTCATCACGCCATCCTGAGCAGCAAGAGCTGACGCTGGACGAAGCTGCCAGGTAGCTGAAAAAAGGCACAGAAGGCAGCTGATACCCACTTTTCAACGTGTTGGGTGGTTGGTTTTTTTTTTTTTTCAGTCTGAATCTGGACTTCAAGCAACACAGCGCCTGAGACAGCTCATCTGAACCACACTGTATTGCAATACTCGCTCTTCCCAAAGAAAAAGACTCCACTGAGTAGCAGAATGCTGCCAGTGTCGCAGCTAGGGCTACAATACAGAGCCTTTTTGTAACATTTAAAAATCTCTTTCTGTTCATATATTTAGAGATACATACCTACACTCACATATCAATTCTTCCTTTTTTGAGGGCACCTTTGGCTTTTGTTACCCTGATGTGACTTCTTCTTCGTCTTGGAATGATGGGGATCTTTCTAGCTTATGTTGGATTCATTTTCTTTTCAGTTATGTATATTCAACAAGGACTTTCCACCCAAGGTAAGATAACTTATTGTCAAATGTGTGTACGTGTTTTTCTATGCTAAAACAGACTGACAACAGTACTGGGGGGGGACGGGGGGGGGGGGGGGGGCGGCGGCGGCA